GCTGATCTGCCAGTAGGTTTCAGCAGAGAGAGGGATCCAGCTGATGCCGTTGGTGGTGTAGGAGGAGTCGACGCCACCAAAGAGGACGAAGCTGCCGCTCTGGCCGTTGCTGCAAGGGAAATGTCAGGTGGAGGTGACCACCACAACCACCACCACCCCACCCAGTGCCATGGCTGAGGGGGGCTTTGCTGCCATCCTCTTCTCTTGGTGCCAATGTTGGTGTCCCCCAGGAGTCACGGGGCATCACATCAACCAGGGAATGGTGATGGAGCCAAGACTTACTTGCTCAGGTAGACGGAGAAGAGGTCCTGGGCCACCAAACCTTCACTCATCATGTTGTCAAAGACAGGGGTGGCTCCAGAGGAGGAGATGCTGGGGAAGGCCAGCCCCAGGATGCCATCGAAGGGCATGTAGTAGAAGAAATCGCCGGGTTCGGTCTCAGCCAGCCCAAAGATCTGGTTGGCGACGTTGATGCCGGCGACCTGGTCGAGGAGATGAGGAGAAGGGTTTGGTTTGGGTGGGTGGTGACCTGATGTCCCCACTCCTGGGGGAGGAGGAGGCCGGGGCACCCCGCCTTACGTTGACGGTGTCGTAGCCCAGGATGCCGGTCATGCTGCCAGTGCCGTAGGCGATCTCAACGCTCTGGCTGGTGCTGACGAAGCTGGAGGAGGCCGAGGGGTTGAAGCGGTTGTGGTTTGCTGTGGGTACAGAAGAGGGACAGTCATGGTCCATCCTGTCCTCAGGGACCAAGGATGACCCTCCAGTTCCTTCTCCATCACCCAACAGATCAAGAATGACCCTCCAGTGCCTTCTCCATCACCCAACAGATCAAGAATGACCCTTCAAGTGCCTTCCCCATCACTTGACAGACCAAGGATGACCCTCTATTGCCTTCTCCATCACCCAGCAGACCAAGGATGATCTTCTAGTGCCTCTTCCATCACCCAACAGATCAAGAATGACCCTCCAGTGCCTCCTCGATCACCCAACAGACCAAGGATGACCCTTCAGTGCCTTCCCCATCACTTGACAGACCAAGGATGATTCTCCTTTGCCTTCTCCATCACCCAACAGACCAAGGATGACTCTCCAGATGACTCAACAGATTGAGTAAACCTCCAGCACCTCCTCCATTGCCCAACAGATCAAGGATGAGCTTCCATTGCCTTCTCCATCACCCAAAAGATCAAGGATGACTCTCCAGCACCTCCTCCATCACCCAACAGACCAAGGATGATCCTCCATTGCCTCCCCCATCACCCAACGTCTCTCTGAAGATACAAGGCAGAGCCACCCTCGGCTCCAAGCTCCCCCAGCTGCTCCCAAAGCCGGACAGGGCAGGAGATTGACCAAGCCCAGAGCTTCTGCTGCCTTCACCCCTTGCCCAGCTGGCCCCAGGGCTACCAGACACCTACCACAGGATGAGCTGGAGCAGTACACGGAGGGGACCCACAGGTTGGAGGAGCCGGTGTCAAAGAGAACGCTGAACTCCTGGGGGGGGGTCCCGATGGTGATGGTGCCGAAGTACTCATTCTGTCCAAGGGGGGGGAAGGGGTTAGTGGGGTGCATATGGGACTAGCAGGATGGCTAATGGGCTAGCAGGAGGGTAATGGGGCTAGTAGGATGGGTAAGAGGCTAGCAGGATGAGTAAGGGGCTAGTGAGTCAGGTAAGGGGTTAGGGGGATGAGTAAGGGGCTAGCAGGATGGGTAAGAGGCTAGCAGGATGAGTAAGGGGCTAGTGAGTCAGGTAAGGGGTTAGGGGGATGAGTAAGGGGCTAGCAGGATGGGTAAGGGGCTAGAGAGTCAGGTATGGGGTTAGGGGGACAGATAAGGGGCAAGTAGGATGGGTAAGGGGCTAGTAGGATGGGTAAGGGGCTAGTGAGTCAGGTATGGGGTTAGGGGGACAGGTAAGGGGCTAGCAGGATGGGTAAGAGGCTAACAGGATGAGTAAGGGGCTAGGGAGTCAGGTAAGGGGTTAGGGGGATGAGTAA